TACTCTGCTTCCAGTACATCTCCCGCCACGCTAAAATAATAATGCCAGAGGCTATTTTCGCCAACCCTCTTAATTTTCTTGAACTGTTGCTCAAACAGGAGGACGGTACAATCTGCTCGCACTAAACCCTTTGTGCGTGGGAGCGCATATGCTTCCATGAACTACACTCGTCTTGTTTGAGACGTTTGTTTTTGTGGCAAATGAGTTTCTTACAAAGATTCGAATCGCTCGGTAGTTTCTCATTCGTATCGAGACTTGCGCTCAAGACTTAATTAGGAGGAGCTGTTCAGCAGTTCTCAAGCTCCTCTGACATCTTAATTAGATCTAAATGACATTTCGGTTGGCTCGCAAATGAGTCAAACCATACAATAAACTCGAAGGTTTCTGACATCAGAGATAAGGAAACGATGATGACGTTTTCATCTAATTTGTTCCTTATACATTTGAAGACTATCATGCAGTGTTTCCTGTATGAAACGTATTATCAGGGGGATTTGATTAACACCGATGCTCTTTCCATTCCGTCCCTCGCAGTCTTTTGTTCCATCTCCTCGCCTCCGTCCCGTTGGGATGCGGGACCAGGCGCAGCCCCCTAATTACCCTGCCATGTCCGTGTGGCATTGCGTGTCTCGTATCAGCCCCATAATCTAATTCATAGCGTTTATTATCATGACAGTGGAGTATACCGGCTATGCTAATGCCGAGATAGGCGGCGCCAACTGAGGTAAAGTGAGAATGGGATATCAGGCAAATTGATGGCTGATTAGATACGTTCCCCATCGCATCGTGCACTGTTCTGCTTGTGCTGCGGTGGATTATCATTGCATTTGCTTTATTAATCGAGGGCAAACTGTATTTCCACAAATGGTGAGAATGCCAACTGCATCAGCTCGATAATGGAATAGAGAGAGAAATATTCGTTGTTTGCTGGTATCTTACCATTCGTATTCAATGCGACTTGAAAAACAAAAAATGAGTATTGTGACCGGCGGGCTGCGTTGCTGAGGTGGTAGCGTTGTCTGCTCCCAATCTGAAGGTCGTGGGGACAATCCTGACCTTCTGAAATTGGATCGACGTGTCCTTGAGCAAGATAGTGAACCCTCTATTGCTTGTGCTGTGTCATCGGTAGTTGAATGAAGAGACAGTGTTGCTACATTTTACTAATAGCCTATTGTCGGTAGTGTCATGTCCTACTGTCAAGTAACTAATGATGGCAGCAGCAGAATGAATTCTGAAGTCGAGAAAGCCGTTTTGTCTGGCAGTTTTCAGAAAACCAAACTAATTGGCAGAAATGTCATCATGTAACAGGACAGAGACCCAAAACCCAAAACACACAGCCAACACTTCTCACAAGACTTCATCAACGGGGGAGAAAAGTGGAAGGTCTTAGACTAGCCATGTCAATCACTGGATCTTTACCCAATAGAGGAGGGGTGGCCAACCAATCAGAGAATAAGAGCCAATTTGTTTTTGACTGTGTTACTGCAAAGAGCCACATCAGCACATCACCCCATCCCTTCCTCTCACACACACACACACACACACACACACACACACACACACACACACACACAGACCTCTGCTCAGCCAGATTTATCATACATGCCACACACCAACGTGACCATGACAGAAATGGACTCCTCCAGTACCAAGACCACAGGCCACTCATTTTCAACAATGAATATTATGTGTACTGTCTCACACACACACAAACTCTCAGTTCAACCAAGTCCAAAACCAAAAATATTATAAGGTTTTTCTCCTACTATGCATGTTGCTTAGCGCCTTAGTGCAGGGCATTCCTTCTCTTGAACAATGCTGTTCAAATCTGGCTTATATTCCGTTGTTGCCTCTCGAAGAAGGCACTGTCTGCATACCAGCTGCAGCGGTTACTACTTGGGTCAGCTTGCCAGATAGGGCAAACTTTTTTGACCGAAGATCGACGATTGAAGCGACCAACCTCCCGCGATCAACTCGATTGCGCACATGCAAGCATATACACAGGCTCGCACGCAATGCACGCGGGCGCCAACCATGCGCTCGCTCACATTTGCACGCACGCCCACACGCATGCCACGATGAGCAACAGCTGGAATGGCCCCTCACATGAACGAAACTGAAACACACAGACACACATTTTCAACGCTGGTCATGTAAAAGCCCGGGAGCCGCATTCAACCAGTGAAAGAGCCTCGGGTTGGCCTCCTCTGCAATAGAGCATGCATTACACCTACTGAAGAGGAGAGTCAGGGGAGAAACCCTTAGAAACAAACAAACTGAAACCGATATGACAGAGGCTGCAATAAAGGCCCGGAAAAGCATTTCAGTGGGTCACAAGGTTTCATGCAACTTTTGCAAGTAATGGTTATGCCACCAAATATTAAATGTTATTTTTATTTTAAGTTAATTAAATAATGTCCTTTGCAATAGTTTTGCTCACTTGTTAAGTGGGTGGCTTATCCTGAGGTGTTTAACACTCTGCATGTAATTACCATGAAATAAAAGCTGGACTTCTGAATCCAAATTCCTTCTGCATCCAGGAAAAAAAAAACAAAGGAATCAACCTTGCCCTTCCAGTACTTTTGGAGGCGAGAGTACATACTAACCATTTTTTCTTCCGCATGTGTTTGGCGGAGGCGTATTTTTCTTCAGTGCATGACACACTCGTCAAATAACTGGGTGTCTGTTAAATGGCCGGCTGCTATTTGAGCACTTTTATTGTGGCGCTTGCTCCTGCCATAAGTCAGATGTCAGAACAATAGTTAGCCGCGAATGAGAATGTTTGGCAAGTGTAATTATCCCCCGCGGTAGGCTTGATGCACACAACGGAGACAAAACCTTGACGATAGAGAGGGTAAGTGATTCCGGTTTTGAAGGCAAATATTTATTCTCCAGATGAGTCGCGCCGTGTGTTTGTTGCAGGGCTCAGCTGCACCCGCCTTTGACTTGAGAGCAGCCATTAGGGGGGAGAAGGGACGCTGAAAATAGGCAGAGGAAACTCTGGGATGATGAGGAGCAGCCCCGAGAGGCTGCAAACCAGATTACATCAGAGAGAGCGAGAGAGGGTACGCTAAATAGAAGCTTTGACTGAAGCCCCTTGTGAGGAGCAGAACCGGGGATAAACACACCAAAAGGATGCGGTTGTGAAAGACTGGCCAGCAGGAGGTTGATTATCAAGACCCCGTCGGTATCTGTAGAGTGTTCGCTGTGCAGCCCCGTCTGTTTATCGCTTTGCCTTCGTTCCCTTCGGCACCTTGTCCCATCCCTCGTCTACCTTTCTGTCTTACCTAAATCTGTCAGAATAAAGCCAGAAATGCCTGACAACTAGTGGTACCTCCATTTACAGCCACCCCCTCATCTACCTCCCTCACAAGGCCTCAGGCTTGCTTCCGCTCCCCTGCCGCTTCCTCTCAGACTTTAATTTATTTTACTTAACCTTTACGTTTTTTCTTAGCATTTAATTTGCCTATAAAGAGCAATGGAAACATGTTGTTGTTTATCTGTAGCGGGATGGATTATTTGTGCTTCACAAATCTTCTGTAAGTCCCTAGGTAGTTGTACAATGGCATCATGTTTTGTTCCGTGTCGTCAAAGATTTGACACGTGATTTGCACAAACTTTAAAGCATCCTTTCTGACTTGTTTATTGTCCTGGTGAATGCGATGGTGTTTAGTATTCGCTTTCCTGCAACATGTTTTGTTGGTTCATGCCATCAATATATTCATTTGGAATCCATTACAAACTAAATTGCTTACGTGTACACGCCATGTCTTGTTTCTTTAGTGTCGGGATTTAACTGCGTTGTAAAATGGCAGAAGCGTACGAGTCATCCGTTTCTTCCACAAAGCTGAGCTTACTCTGGCGTGCTTAAAGACAGTGTGTCTGTTTTCTTGCCATAGTGCCGTGATCAGTGCAGTGGATCGTCCCAGGTCAGACACAATTAGGTGGGGTAGGTAAAAAAAATAATGAGCATAGGAAGGAAATACTAGAAACAAGGAAAAAAATGAATTGCTGCCATCATAAAACATTGAACTGGACTGGCCCTGTCGGGCCATCATGAGCAGAGTTGTCGTGCTGATGCCAGAAGTAGCATTGGCCCTCATTGGCAACAATACTTAACAAGTGTAAAACTGGTTTTGTAAGCTTACTTGTGGATGAACTAATGAAGCGTAAAGACTCAGTTAGCCAAAATGCACACGAGCATTCAGTGCATAAATGCCTGGCCAGTCGGGCCAGCATCGCTGAACTTGGGGTGACCCGACAATATCATTGGGCCGCCGTTAATGTCGAACCCTGATGTCACTCGTTTTTTTTTTTTTTTTTTTTTTTTTTTTTTAACATTCTTAACAGTAAGCAGAAAATGAAATGAAACACTGCAAAACCGTGAAGATTTGAACACTTTACAGTTTCCTTGTATAACTAGCTTCCAGTAAGTGAATCAAACAATATACAGAAAAATGGCAATAAATCAACTGATTGTTAGTCACTCCAAATGAAACATTTATGATTTATACATGGCTGTAATTTGTCCTCACAGACTAATCGTTTTAAACATAATGTAACAAGTAACTAATGGTCAACCTTCAAAACATTTGACTGAATCAACGGCGCCTCAGTTTTAGTTCCAGTGCTTTTATCCAGTACATCCAAGTTGAACCTTAATTTGAGGAAGCACTTTATTAATTGGAACTCCAATGGATGAGCAGGATCTTAATAAAATTGCGATACGACCTAAGAGCCTCTCTTGATGTAGTGGACTTGTGGATTCTAACCAAGTAGACACGGTGTCTCACACATGCCAACGCCTGCTCGAAAAATGCTCCCGATATGCTGCAACTCGGTCATTGATGTCACATCTTAAGTGAACGGCAATTGATCTTTTTCAACTCCCTCCTTATCACATGCCGCGAAAATCAATTTGCAGTTGGCAGGCAAAAGTAGGGGGTGCGTAGGTTCTGCAGGGCTGGACTAATTAGTGTTCACGTGTTCGTTTGCGGCAGGTTCACGGAAGCGGATACCATCGTGATGGGGGATGTAACGTACGGGGCGTGCTGCCTGGACGACTTTACCGCCCGAGCCTTGGGAGCTGACTTCATGGTGCACTATGGCCACAGTTGTCTTGGTGAGTCTTTTGTCTTGTCTGTGTTTATGATATGTTTTACTAAATGTGATGGGACTCTCTTTCTGAAAGTTTTGAGCTCCTGTTTTGTGGAATGCTTATGGGAATTGTGCCACCGTTTAACGGTCCCCAACTACCGGGCAGTGAGTGGCAAGGGTCTATGTGTCTTTGGAAATCAGGTGAATCTGCCTGTGCCTCTCCACACAAGTCCAACAGGTTGTGTCAGTCACTTGATAAAGTTGAGTTCAAAACAGCCATCTTTGGAGAGCTTCTTCAGGAAAGGCAATAAGGCCAAACAATTAGACAAAAGAAGCAACTGTATCTTGCAAGAAAAAGAATGCTGCATGAAAGAGACAATTTCAGCAGTCCTGTCTCTCAGGATCAGAAGTGGGAGGTGAAAATCAACCCCGCCCTCGAAAAGATCCAGCAGGGAATGTATGTTCTGCAGCTGCTGACGAAGTACGGCCTAAGCTGTTGAGACAGTTCTCTGCAAGTCATTGAATCAACCCTGGGTTCATGGATCACAGCAGACTGCTGCAGACAGTTAGGAATGCTGAGAGGATCATCTGTACCCCTCTACCTGCTCATGAGGATTTGCACACTCCGAGAACTAAGACAAGGCACAG